TCGCAACCTTTTGGTGTGCCGTTCTATGCTCCAACCAACAGGGCTACCTGGCCAGGGCTAGTCTATCAACTTGATGTTTCAGCCAAAATTCTGGTAGTTTATCTTCTCTTTTTCTGCCATTAAAGATTTGCTCTTAAAGAGATGAGACTAGTTCTTACAATCTCTTCTATTTATAATTTAGTGTTCAAACTTGAATTAAGGAAAGTTGTATCTGACACCTGATTATGACATCATAGTATTCTTTTAAAAGTCAGCCTCATTGGCTACTGGGAAAAACTGTTCAATCATTTCTCCCTCGTATGTTTCTTTCTTTCTTTTTAAAAGATTTTAAAAATGATTGTTAGAAAGGGAGAGGGAGAGAAACACTGATGGGAAAGCGAAACAGCCATCAGCCTCCTCCTGCACGCCCCTCACCACGCATCAGGATAGAGCCTGCAGCAACCCTTTGGTGCAGGGGTCGATGCTCAACCAACTGAGCAACAACACCCAGGGCTCCAGAAAGTTTCTTCAAATGCAAAGCAAACAATCTACTTGGTATAGAATCAAGGACATATTTTCCTCATCATAATAAACCAGAGAAGGCCGATTTTAAAGATGACTATTTCAGAAACTTACTTTGAGGCTGTCTGTTTAAATAAGAGCTCAAATTTTCTATTTTAGTAGCTTCTCAAGCTGAATCTGGCCAGTTTCCTTTAGTAAAACTGTTCACTCACCAAGTACTTTTCAATTCACTATAAGTGGTAAATAGTTTGAAGAAAATAAGTTATCTATAAAACTTAGATATAAGAATAAATTCTCTTAAATTTTGTAAAATATATTTTCTTACTAAACATTTTTTACCCACACAAAATAACTCTCCCTTATCTTCAGCTTCCACCTCCAACAAGTGACAGAAGAGCAGGTGTGTGTGTTTATTTAATCACTTTATGAAACTTAGTCTCCAAATGCTTTTTATTTGCTGCTCCTTTCACCTACAAGTAAGAACAGCAAACAAAAGTAAAAAGGGCAGCTGATTAAACAAGGTCATGGTCATTAGTTTGCCTTAAAATTAATCAGGAAACTGGTTGCTTATTTTGTTACAACAATAAAAAATTCTCCACCTTTCATCCTTACAATTTTAAATATCAGATTGTTGTTGGAACCAATATATTGTATTCATCACTTACAAAGAAAACCAGTCGCTGTCTACTCGGTTTCCCACAGGCAACGGGAGCCCAATATTCACAGAAACACAGATTCTGAGCATTTTTAATTGTTGAAAAAAATGAGCAAACTTCCCATCAAAGTGTCACAAGAAATTGGGTGATACAACAATGAAAAAGATTCTCAGGTTTTGAAATCTCACTATATAATACCAAGGTGTAGATTCCTCTCATTTCATTTACAAGTATAATGTTCTAAAAATGCCTTTCTTCCAGGGAAAACAATTTATGGGATTTAATTACACAATTCCACTTCGACTAGTCTGAATTCAGTGTGCGGAGTCTAACCACTCTGCGAGACGGACTCAGCAGTACCACAGGAGCTCACCTAGCGTTTACAAACGCTGACACCAGCGCGCCTTCCTAGCCATCTCCTCAGAAACAATCTGAAACATGTTGTTTATTGTAAGTGATATACTTCAGTAGATAAATATATGAACAGTAATCAACAAGTCTCTTTAAGAATAAAATATTTAGCCCTTTGTATATCAAATCAGACCATGAAAGGTAAAATAATTCATCAAAAGGTACATTATTTTCAAATATATAAACTATGTGCTAAAGTAAAAAAAATAAAATGTCCTTTAGTGCAGAGCTGCGCCCGGGCGGCTGTCAGTGGCCGCGCGAGGAGACAGGTCCTCCGCCCCGAGGGTCGCTCCTGCCGGTCTCTGTCTCTGCAACGACAACAAAGGCCAACATCAGTCAACGGGCACGTTCCGAACTTCACTCAGAGAACCTGTGACTCATTCAGAGATGAATTCAAACAACAAATTACAGAAAATTTAAAATAAAATGTGCAAAAATGGCAACCCCTTCCAGACCATCAGGAAGTCTGTCAACACCTCCCGCACAGTGAGGTCTCCCAGTGCCAGCCTGGGCGGCATGACTCGGTCAGCGTGACTCGGTCAGCGTGGGACTATAGAGCGATGCAGCCTGAGCTGGTGAGTGTTCTCAAAAGTAAAGCAAGTGGCTCTGGTGACGAAGACGATGATGCGCCGCCTAGGAAACCAGCGAGCACCTCCTGGGCAACGCTGACCCCGTGAGGTGGACACTGCACAGGTCATCACCCCACTTCACAGACGAGGAAGCGGAGCGGAGAGTGACACCTTGGAAGAGAATCTGCTATTCACACCCTGACAGGCTGACGTTACTAGGACAGGAGCACAAAAGGTTCCTACAGATACAGAACACCTCCTTACATACAGGAGAACCAGATACTTTGAACTCACTACAATAGAGCTAAGTGCAAGGCCACCAGGACGAAGGAGCACTAACCAACCAGGAAACTACTTCTCCAGTGAGCGGTCTACCCTTGTTATTCTGTAATCTGGCTTCTTTCCACACCTTTATTTCTATCCATTATTTGAAACTACCTTCATTTTAAGAGGGCATTTGGGAAAGATGCTGACAAACTAATGCACTACAAGTAACGAGAGAGAAGAGAACCCTGGAGACGGCCTTTGAAGGCTCTGTGGTCAGGTAAAAGTGTCCTCTGTCTTTCAGCATCTCACGGGTGGCCCAGGATTAGAGAAGCAACTCCCTTTCCTCCCGCAGACTGCTGGCAGCGACACCCAGCAGTGGGCGCAGACACCGGCATTCCTAAGGCAGGAGCTTGGGCAAGGGAAGCGCTGCCTGGAAAGGTGGCGTCGTCCCAGCAGGAGGCCAGAGCTGGTTAGAAGAATGGCCCACAGGTCAGCCTCCCACTTCCGCCTCCTCTCAACTACAGTCTTCCTTTCTGCCACAAAGCAGCCTTCCCTCTCTGGTACCCATTGAACACTTAAGCTCTAATATTTCTATTCTTGCCTCCCAGATCCTACACATGTGCAAAAATGGAGAAACTGATTCACTATACTCCCTCTTCTAGGATGGCAAATTTAAAACCAGAAGCATCAACGATTTATAGAATAATTCAATGACAGTAAAAATTCTGATGGGACTTTTACTTGGCAAAATGATTTTAAGATTAATCTAAAAATGTAGAGCAGCCCTAGCTGGTTTTGCTCAGTGGATAGTGCGTCGGCTGCGGACTGAAGGGTCCTGGGTTCGATTCCAGTCAGGGCACATGCCTGGATTGTGAGCTTGATCCCCATTGTGGGGCGTGCATCTCTTTCATCACTGATGTTTCTATCTCTCCCTCTCCTTTCCTCTCTGAAATCAATAAAAATTTATTTTAAAAAAAATGTAAAACAGGCCAGGAAAATTTTTTTCATTATAGTACAATTTATTTAGAAATCACTTGGTATTCATTTAAGACTAGAACAAACACTATCATTTAAACACTTTCCAGTTTATATTCTCAAATTAAAGTCTAAACACAGGTAGGTATACAAAGCCTTTTACATTCTACAAAGGTCTTAATCAAGTAAATACTTCACTTTCAAAGTTCCTTAAGAATACGGATGCTGCCCTGGCCGGTTTGGCTCAGTGGATAGAGCATCAGCCTGCGGACTGAAGGGTCCCAGGTTCGATTCTGGTCAAGGGCACATGCCTGGGTTGCAGGCTTGATTCCCATGGGGGGGTGTGCAGGAGACAGCCAATCAATGATTCTCTCTCATCATTGATGTTTCTATCTCTCCTTCTCCCTTCCTCTCTGAAATCAATAAAGAAATATATTAAAAAAAAAAAAAAGAATATGGATGCTGGCTCTCTCCCTCCACAGAGCAGCCCTGTCTTTCCTTTCTCCCTCTTCTTCCCCAACAGGCGTGCAGCTCCTAGACTCTAAGGGACCCCACGAGACCTGCAACCAGTGAAGTGCTGAGCAATGACAGCTCATTCCAGACTCCCCCCTAAACCTGTCCCCAAGGCCCCCTTTTCTCAGTGAGCTGACAGCAGCCCCGCCCAGGCTCTTTCCTGTTGCTTCTTTCCTTGTTACACTGTCCCAGCTGTAATAAGTGTATTCTCAAAATCACCTGAATAAAAAAAAGAATATAGGTGCTAAAATTAAAAGGCTTGGGATCTGATAAGCAAAATACATCATCTACTTGCAATATTGATTATCAATACTGCCTAGACTAGGAAAGTTTAAAGTTTTACTTTCTTTTCTTTTTTTTAATCTTCACCTGAGGATATTTTTCCATTGATTTTGAGAGAGAGTGGAAGAGAGAGGGAAAGACAGAGAGAAACATCAATGTGAGAGAGACACATTGATTGGTTGCTTCCTGCACGAGCCTGACCAGGACCCGGGCCATGGAGGAGTCTGCAACCCAGGTACCTGCCCTTGACTGGAATCAAATCCCTGGACCCTTCACTCTGCAGGCTGATGCTCTATCCAATGAGCCAAATTGGCTAGGGCTAAAGTTTTACTTTCTGCTTTTATAATATACCATTGTGTATAATATTATGCCTGAAGATGAAAATGAGAACAAATTTACACCTATGTTGTAAGTTTTATATATGAATATATATTTACCATTTACATTTTTATTGCAAAGTGATTTTCCAAATAAATTGCAATAGTACAAAAAGTCATTTTACTTTAAATAAAATCATGAAAGTACTGTTTACTTTTCCAACAAATGAAATACTTTTACAATGCAACTTTTTAAAAAAGTCCAATTTTCTTCCTGATGTTTATTAGATGTTTATTAGAAGACTCGTGGCCTGGTGCACGGATTCGTGCACATTGAAAGGAAATTAATTAGAAGGTGGCCAGCAGGGTAGGACTGGGAGAGACGGGCCTGACACACCCTGGAGCCAACCTCCCGCGGTCCCTCCCTGGCTGGCTGCACCTGGGGCAGTGCCACTACTCAAAGAGCGTCTGCGGTCACCACAGCTTGGCAGTAAACCAGATTTGGGGCCGACAGTGCCCCAGCAACAACATAACCCACGGCTGAAGGTGGAATCTCGCAGCCAAGGAATCGGGCTCCCTCCTCTCTGGTTCCGGGGTGTGTCACCCGAGAACCGCTGCTGCCAAGTCACTGCAGCTCGGCAGCTCCTGCGCTGGGCGTCTGCCCCCTGGTGGTCAGTGCGCGTAATACCTACTGGCTGGTCAGATGGTCGCTTAGCCTTTTATATCCTAATATATAAAAACCCAGGGTCCGTAACGACTGACCGAAGGCTTGACGGAACACTGGAAGTCAGTACTGTAGTCAGTGCTGGGTCGCCATGGGCACAGTGACCCAGCACTGACTGCTGAGGGGTCTGCGGATCAGGCCTGGAGAGAGGCCGGGAGAGAGAGGCAGGGTCTGATCCACAGCCTCTGTGGCAGCTGTTGATCAGCTGTTGCCTCTTTCTTTCTCTCCGGGCTTCACCAGCAGCCGCGCCTCTCTTTCTCTTTCTCTCCGGGCCTCTGCAGGGGCTGCTGATCGGCCTCGCCTCTTTCATCAGGCCCAGAGATAGGCCCGGAGATGCTGACTGGCATAGAAACTGACCAATCAGAACCAAATTGGCTGGCAGGGGAGGGCAGTTGGGGGCGAGATCAGGCCGGCAGGGGAGGGCAGTTAGGGGTGATCAGGCAGCCAGGCAGAGGCAGTTAGGGGCGATCAGGCAGGCAGAGAGGTTAGGGGCAATCAGGCAGGCAGGCAGAGGCAGTTAGGGGAGATCAGGCAGGCAGGCAGGTGAGCGGTTAGCAGCCAGGGGTCCCAGATTGCGAGAGGGATGTCCGACTGCCGGTTTAGGCCCGATCCCACAGGCCTAACCGGCAGTCGGACATCCCCCATGGGGTCCCCGATTGGAGAGGGTGCAGGCTGGGCTGAGGGAACACCCCCTCCATGCAGGAATTTCATGCACCGGGCCTCTAGTATATAGATAAGCCCAACCCACAGAATGAAATGCACATAGTAAAACTTCAGTAAGTGGAACCAAGGAAGATCAATGTGAAGGGCAGGGTGCTGTAACCTTAGCCTATCAAAAGAGTAAGAGGCACTGCTCGGCACAGAGCCACACAAATGCTCCTGATTCATTCAAAGCACCAAGAAGCTCACTTCTGCTGCAGTTACACTGTTAGTAAGCAAACAATATTTTTAAAGGGCTAGGCTTCTGTCTCTCTCTGAAGTAGTTTCCCTAAAATTTTTAAAAACTTCTATTTAACTTTTGTTTTTAAACGCTGTGAAGCAATGAAGTTCTAATTAATGAATTTTACTACATTTGTGAATTCATATTTTAGACACTGCTTTGACATCAAAATAATATGAATTCAATACAAAAATCAGTTTTTCACTCAGAGGTCAGACTTTGTTTTCTGAGAACTGTGTCAGCTAGTTAATGGAAATTAAAATCTGATTTTCCAACACTAACTTACATATTTTTTGCCTCTTATATACCAATCTCTGTTTGACTTATGCTCATGGAAATACAAAGAGCCTGGCCGGTGTGGCTAAGTGGTTGAGCATCGACCTATGAACCAGGAGGTCAAGGCTCAATTCCTGGTCAAAGACACATGCCCTGCTTGCGGGCTCAACCTCCAGTAGGGGGCGTGCAGGAGGCAACTAGTCAATGATTCTTATCATTGATGTTTCTATCCCTCCCTCCTCCTTCCTCTCTGAAATCAATAATACCTTAATCAATAAAGAAATTAAAGATTGAAATAAAATAAAATAAAAATAGTAATAAAAAAAAGGAAATGACTCAAAATAAACCATATGGCTTTATGAAGATAAATTATTCCATTATTATATACTTTAGGATTATTCCCTCCAACAGTATGGACTCTAAAACAGTGACTTGTATAGCGTGAGTTCCTAAGCTACCATGAAAACCGTTATCCTGAAGTCTCAGGATGCCCTTTTGCAAACGCTACTGAACCTTTGCAAAGTCAAATGTACTCAAACCAATAACATGATATGAAGGTCATCAAAGCAAATGAAATCAGTAAAAACTAGGACTAGCCCTGGCCGGCTTGGCTCAGTGGATAGAGCGTCAGCCTGCACGGACCGATGGGTCCCAGGTTCGATTCCGGCCAAGGGCACATGCCTGGGTTGCGGGCTCCATCCCCAGTAGGGGGTGTGCAGGAGGCAGCCGATCAATGATTCTCTCTCATCATTGATGTTTCTATCTCTCTCTCCTTCTCCCTTCCTCTCTGAAATCAATAAATAAATATATTTTTAAAAAACACAAAAAAAACTAGGACTATGCTCTAAGACTTTAGAAAACTATGCTAGTTACTGTTACCTTCCGATAGCACTTAACGAATACAATATAGACCTGGGCTAAAAGACACAGCGAGAAATTGTACATGCAAACAAATGAAACACCGCATACTGGTACGTTGCACATTATCTTGAGGGCTATAGGAAAAGTTATTTTTATATTGAAAATATACTTTAACCAAAAGAAAAACTGTCCTATCCTGACTACGTGAGTAACCCCGTATGCCCAAATGGGAGGTTCAAGGGCAGGCAGGGGTTTACAGTGTGTGAGCTGCCAGTGAGGCCCGTCTCCAGAGGCTGAAGGGCTAGTGCACCCCTTGGAAGAGGAATCCGGCAAGAAAAAAGTTTATGCCTTTTTCTCTCCAAATGTGGTTCAATAAAGCAGATGTCCTCAAAGCAATGGACACTTACTTCAAGCACTTACTCTGCTTACAAGTTTATTTACACAGTAATTGTTAATGGTGGCATTTAGCAAATTCCTTGTATTTACTTACATTTTGTGTACATATTTATACTTTAAAGATAAAGAAAGTGTATAATACTAAAAATGAGAAAAAGAAATACAGTCACTTAGGTCCAATGCAGGAGGCAAGTAACAGAAGGAAGATTAACTTCACCAGGTCGTTACCCTCCATGAGGTCACTGCCAGGGCTCACAGTCCTGCCAGCAGGGCCCCAATAGGAAGAAAACAGTTATCAGAGTCAACATTAACCTTAAAAAAATGCAGAAAAGGCCAGAAATTTAAAAAAAAATAGAAAGAAAGAAGAAAGATGAAGGAATTTGCATTGCCTTGCAAATATCAAAACATGTTGTGCATAAATAATTGTTATTCACTAAACAATATTAGGATAATTGGTTAAACATTTGGGGGAAAATGTTAGCTCAATTTCCCCTTAAATTATGTGGATTAAAGATTTAAATGTAAAATACAAAACCACAAATATTAGATATAATTTTAAATTTTGTAGCTAAGAAAAATACCTCAGAAAGTCAAAGTATAGAGAAATTGGGGGAAGGGGGTGACAAAGACCAAAGTGCTTAGAATCAGTATGAAAGATTAGTTTCTCTATAGAAAAATAAGCTAAGAATGAAAGGGACAACTCATAAAAAACAAAAACAAATGACTGACAAATACGAAAAGAAGGTAATCTCATGAATAATAAAAAACGCAATTCCGCCCTGGACAGGTGGCTCAGCCAGCTGGGTGCTGTCCCGTGCACTGAAAGGTTGGTTGTGCAGGAGGCAGCCAATCAATATTTTGCTCTCATGTTGATGTTTCTCTCTCTTCCCCTCCCTTCCTCTCTCTCTAAAAATCAATAAAAAAAATATTTTTAAAAATGCAATTCACTCTATTTTATCAATCAGAATGACAGAAAACAAATTAGACAAGTGGTATGAAGGTGTTACGTACTGACAAAAGCCACACAGGGTGCGGCTTGAAGAAATTACTTGAGTAAATCCAAAATGTAAGACTATGCAGCTGCACAAAATTATGTATCTACTGATACAGAAACAGATTCAGACACTAAGAGAAAAAACAGGTTACTAGCAGCACATAAATGACATTCTCCCCATCATTAAACACAAAAAAACCTTTGAAAATGCATTTATCAAAATGTTAAAATAGTTATTTCCAGGTGTGCGATGATGGTTTTCATTTTTCCTTTAGTTTTTCTGCATTTTATGTATTGTATTCCATTTTCAGTGCCTAATGTCAGCTTGTTTTAATATTTTATTTTTTATTTTTTACAGAGAGGAAGGGAGAGGGATAGAGAGTTAGAAACATCGATGAGAGAGAAACATCGATCAGCTGCCTCCTGCACACCCGCTACTGGGGATGTGCCCGCAACCCAGGTACATGCCCTTGACTGGAATCGAATCTGGGGCCCTTCAGTCGGCAGGCCGACGCTCTATCCACTGAGCCAAACCGGCTTGGGCATCAGCTTGTTTTATAATCGGCAAGCTACTCACCGAGTAAGGCTGTGCTTTCCCCTGCGTCTTCTTTAAGATGCCCGCTGCACTGCGGCCCGGGGTCCCTGGTGGAGGGCGCCGGGGAGGGGCTCCCGACACTTCTGTCTTCGTGGCGAACAGTAACACTCACACTTGCAGCCGCAGCCACAGCGCCTCCCGGGGCCGCCTCAGCAGCGGGCTCTTCCTGGGCATCCTCAAGCTCTCCCTTGAGAGTTAGAACAAAAGTCAAACGATCAAAGCTTATTTATCATCTTTTGTTCATAATTCACACATTTATCGTATTTTGTTCATAAATGTTTACTTATACACAGAATATAGCAAAAAGCACACGATATCTACTTTATTTAGCATCATCAGTGAATTACTTCTCAAAAAGCAGCTTCCCAAGATCTGGCCATTTTTATTCTAACCACCATTTCCCCTGATACAAGCAACGCCACCTTTTTTACTATTTGTGGACAAGGAAGTGAAGCTTTGTTACACACACTTTCCTGCCTTCTGGAACAGATGATGGGACCGGCCGCTGCCTGCTGCGGCCACTCCCGGCCTGGCCCGCTCCCGCCACGTCCCTACCTGCAGTTGTTCACAGAGCACTGGACAGGGCCTACACTGGACAGGGTTCACTTAAAAACATCAGCTGTCCATTTGCCTCCAACTCCCCCTCCTCCCATTTGCAGCTTTGAAGACAATAAAATAACGAAAATGAGGGCCAAGACTCTAGAACGGTTATTACACTGAAGTCTCACACTTGGGGGCTATCCAGAAACCTTGTCTGACTGACGCCAGAGCCCAAGCTGAGTTGTGACTGGAAGAACGGCGGGGTAGGTGGCTCTGACGTGAGGGTGGCGGCGGGTTTGTGTGAGCCTTGGCTGAGACGGCCACCTGTGCTGAGTGACAACCCTGCGCTCCCTGCCTCCACTCCGCCTGGGCTCTCAGGGCCCAGGGCCTGCTGGCCTGCAGCTCCACCCGTGTTCTTGAACCCACCTCCCGAGCACTGCGTGGCACACGGCTGCTCTCAGTAGTGAAAACCTCAGAATGTGACTCTGAGACCTCACGCCAAACCCTGCTGACTGCCTTACTGTCCAGACCCGCTCAGCCCATCCTTATCATTTTTCCAGGCATTTCTCTGAATACCTGCAAAACCCTACTACCTGCCAGACTCAAACCCCTCATGTTCACAGCCTGCAATATACTCATCGGCCCGACAAGCCCTTTAACACCCAGCCAGGTGCCCCTCAGAGAAACTGCTCCCTGTCCCTCCCCCTGCACTTGGCAGTGGTCCCCCTCTCCCGGTGCTCCTGGACCTCTTTGTCCTGCTGGGTCTGGGTAATGCCCTCGCCCCACCAGCCCACAGAGAGTGGAAGGGCTGTGTCTTATTCATCCCTGTCCCCCCAGGGCCCAGGTCAGGTCCAGCCCCTAACCCGCACCCCTCTGATAAACGCTTGCTGAATCAATGAGAACAACAGTGGTGCCAGCTGCTGACCCAAAGACCACCGTGACCTGCGTGAGGGACAGTGGCTGCTCCCTGTGCGGACATTTCCTTGGAAACAACTAGTTACACGAGTTATAGTTGCTACATGAGAGTGTGTCGTGACTACCCAACACTGGATGGGCAATGACCTAAAGGAAATGGCGTACTTGTCAAAGATTTAAAAAGTTAAAGGCAAGACAAGTTAACAACAGGCTTGATTTAAAGGAAGCTTCCTGGGGATACAGTCTAGCTTTCTGACATTAACATTCTAAGCAAGCAACCCAACCTTATGCAACATGAAGAATCTTGACTTTTAATATATGAATTATATTTCCAAAACCAAAATGCATGAGGATTAAAGTCTCAATACTAATTGTCAGTGAAACCCCTTTTCTACCAATTTTTAGAAATGCAAAGCGGGTCAAAAATCACTGACTCATGAAGCAAGTTACTTGAAATGAGCTTCAGAGTGCATCTGAGGAAGGGACGGGAAGGGGGCCACTCGGCCGGACTCCACGTGTCCCTGCTGTCCCAGGCAGCGCAGCCTCTCGCCAGAGCAGAGAGGGGACGAGCAAGTTCACTAGGAGAGCAGGGCACGACATGCTAAACAGAGGCATCATCATTTAAAACTATGAATAAATGAATGTTAGAAATTCTAGAGAACAAATTTCCCAAATTTCCAAGCAAAGGAGATTTAATTCCCTGAAAGCTGTCCTTGATGCTGACCCTTCTGTGCACCATGCTGAGGGCCTTCCAGAGCTTGCACTTGAGAAATGTAACTCATAGGAAATTATGCTGGCTATGCAGGTAGTGTTCTCTCAACCATCTTCGGCAGATAAGCGAAGCTACAAGATGAGAGAACACGTTAAGCAGGCCTGCAGCCTTAAGGGCCATTATGGCGTTAAGTAGCATAAAATGATTATTTAAAACAAAACACCTCTCTGTAGTTTCTAACCGTACAATGAATGCTATGAGAAACTCTAAAAATTCTTATTCTCTCTGACGGATGGATATGACGATATGAATAAATTCTAGCCAATACTGTGCTAGTGGAAGTAGCATGTGACTTCCTAGAAGCCCCGTTTGCTGAGAAGGTACTCCTCCTTCTCTCTCGCCGTAGTGTGAATGCAAGTGCTGCGGGGTGACCATCAGCCGTGTTCGCAGTCTCAGATAACACTCCACTGAGGAAGCAGCAACATAACAGAAACCTGGGTAAGTAACTGACACGGGTTCTCCACACCAAACACAGACTGCCTGCCTCTACGCATCTTTACACGCGGCAGAGCAGCGTCCTGCTCACGTAAACACTGCTGTGTGTGTCCGTGAGCGGCGTCTTTTTATGCAGCTGGACTAGGATCACCCCATCAGCAATGTGAGTTCCTCCTAAAATTCTATGTGCTCAATGGAGAGGCTGTCTCTGTCAGGAGTATCTTGTTTGTTTATTTTGCATTTTGGAAGTTAAAATATCTTTTTATCTTATGAAATTACTTTAAATAATAGGCATTAGGTTTTTGTTTATGTTACTTGAAAAATAAAAAGTTGGCAAAAAAAAACCCCAACTCTAAAAATATGTTTAGCAAGAAGAAAAAAAATATATTTTATATTTATATTACTTCTTTCAAAGATCTTTATTTCAAAACTAATGACTGTCAAATCAAGAATATTTGGAAACATTGATTTGATTATATAAAGACTCTAAAAACAATAAAAAACAGGACAAGCTAGAAAAACCTGTTTTCTTCCCTCTATTTGCCCCCTTTTGGGTACGACAGTAGTTGAGAGCTTGGGCCCTGGAATGGAGGAAACTTGCTTCTGAAAGCGGACTCCCCGTTAACTAGCTGTGTCCTGGGTGAGCTATTGAGCATCTCCTAAATTTGAGTTTCTAATGAGCAAAACAGAGATCCTGCAGTACTTACTCCGAGGCCGCGAGGCCCCTGACCAGTGCACATGCATCCGCTGCAGCTGGTACCTGACCTGCCCGACACAGCTGGTACCTCACCACGCCCGACGCCTGCTTTCTGAGGAAGGTCCCACGACCCTCTAAGGACCAGGCTGAGGGAGCAAACTCAATGCAGGGCACACTCCCTGGCGGGATCTGACTCTGACCCGGACTCAGGAAGCGTGGGCTTTGGCTTCACCTGCAGGATGTGCACCTGCAGCCATAGGACGTCTGAGGCTCCTTCCACTGCCAACCTTTCATGATCCTTGTTTGTATGAGATTGGCCAGCACATACACTGTGCACTGCATTATCCCAAAATACACCGCTTTAAGCAATCCCTAACTCTCTGAGGAAACAGCGTATTCTTCTACAGTCACAAATTTAGGTCATTCCCTTTTTTCTGGAGTATCTTAAGAATTCATTTTTAATGAAGAGGAAAATTTCTTCAGAGAAGGAGTATGTAGTCCATCCCTCTGGCCTCTGGTCAGTAATGACACCACATCCCTCAGGAAGCACGGGGCAAAGATTGAATAGAAACAAAAGGCAACAAACCCAGTATCCCAGGGCTTTGATGACATCGAGCTTACACATTGGACACGTGTGGTGATCCAAAAGCCAGGGGTCAATGCACGTTCTATGAAAAATATGCCTGAAAAAGTAAGTTGTGTTAATGTTTTACAAGCAACGTTTACATCTTATCAAGGAAACAACACATTCTAACAACTTATCTTCTCATTACAATTAAATAACATCCCATCCAGCCAGCATGGCTCAGTGGTTGAGTGTCAACCTACGAACCAGGAGGTCAAGGTTCAATTCCCAGTCAGGGCACATGCCTGGGTTGTGGGCTCCATCCCCAGTAAGGGGCGTGCAGGATGTAGCCGATCCATGATTCTCTCTCATCACTGATGTTTCTCCCTCCCTCTCCCTTCTCCTCTCTGAGATCAATAAAAAAATATTTTTAAAAAATGCAATCAACACTCTAGTCTATTCACTAAATTCTTACCTAGTCTATTTTCCATGTTAAACAGAATCTTACAGAGAAATTCCCCTTTTAGCTACAAAAAAGATCATAGTTTACTTTCACATTATGCTGGGTTGTATGTTTGTGTTTCTGAAGCGCTTTGGGAACAAATGTGGTGTAAGTAAACCAACAGTAACCTAACACCAGACTGACAGCACCTTCTGTCTGTCTATAAAACGACTCACATGGAAATACAGCAAAATATTAACAAATCATCTTTGGGTTGCAGGCTTAAAAAACATTTTCTGTAACAAACACATCACTTTCAGAATAAAAATAAATCGCATGCGCATGTTTTTCTTTTACTGATTTGTCTTAGTTGGCTCTTAGGTGCTGAAGGTGAGGCGTTAAGAGTAGTGTTGGATCACACAGGCTGGGCTCGAATAGCAGCGCTGTGACCTGACGCTGTGCCTCTGCACCTGTTCCGAACCTCGGCACCGCACCAAGGCTCTTCGAGGAGCACACAAATGTGCCTGCAGCAGTGCTGGGCACAGAGACAGGAACTGTGCACCCGCACAGCCTGCTGGTGCGGTTACAAACAACCGCACTTACACATCATCTAGTCCAGCCTCTCTTTTGACCTTTCCACCTTCAATTTGAAACTGACTCACCCAAAGGAATCATTTTTACAAAAACTTAAAAGAAACACATTGGCCACTTTGGAAAATTCATTAAATAAGGCACCAGAGAAAATGGAGGAAAAAGTCAAAACCCCCAAGAATGTCAGAAAGAGACCAGGAAATGTGTGCACGTCACATGTTTGCTTGTGGGGGTCAGGTAAAAACTCCAGCTCCGCTGTCAGGGCATATCTGCTGCTACACAAACAGGAAATCAGCCTTAGCTTGCTTCTCTGTGAAGACCTGTCCTAAACCAGCCGAGAGTTTTCTGTTTTAATAACTTTCTAGCCCTAGCCAGTGTGGTTCAGTGGGTAGAGCCCCGCCTGCGGGCTGAAGGGTCCCGTGTCTGATTCCGATCGAGGACACATCTCTCCCGTAGGGGGTGTGCAGGAGGCAGCCAATCAATGACTCTGTCTCATCATTGATGTTTCTCTCTCTCTCCCCCTCTTCCTTTCTCTCTGAAATCAATATATTTAAAAATATATTTAAAAATTATTTTAAATTTTCTAGAGGACATGGGCAACATATAATACTGACTCCAATTCATTAAGTACCCATCGCACCAACCCCCTATAAATGCCTATAGATTTAAGTTATACATCTTTATTCAGGAAACTTTTATTTTGTTATTCTGGTATTTATTCATTTCCTCTACAATTATTGAGAACTTAATCTACTATAAAATACTTGTATATATATTAAAATACTTTGCAAACATAAAGCAAATGTAATTATGTACAGGGTGGGGCAAAAGTATGATGGGTTACAGTTGATCGTCATGGGAAATGCTTCAATAATTAATAAATAATAACAAGAATAAACTCTGTTTCTTGTACTCACACTGTAAGCCTACTTTGGCCCCACCTGTATGAACTCCTGACTTGCTTCTAATAGCTGTGAAGTATAATTAAAACTGGTCACACTTAAACATATAAATTTTGCACACCCTTCTGCTAACAAAGCAATTTTTTAAAATAGGTATCAAATATCCCATTATTAAAAAGGAAACATAACTTCCTGTTGCTAAAAAAAATCCAGCCCCTAATGTACCTGGAGTAAGGGGGGATATTTACCTATGCAACCCCCAAAGAACCCAAGCCCAGGGTGCAGGCAACAGCAGGGCACTGCCCTCCCCTCCTCCTGCCACCCCATCCCAGCACTGGGCCAGGGCCTCGCCTGTCAGGCTGCAGCTCCCTCTCCTTACACAGCACCCCTGAAAGAGCCAATCCATGACAAAGACACAGCAGGGTCTCCCAGGTCTCCCCCAGACTCCTGAGCAAGCATTTTAACGCTACAGAATACAGGGAACCATCTTTTCTAGAGGAGGCGGCGGTCACGAGGCATCACAACAGCTAGGTGTTCACATCTAGAGACACGAGACTCCTGTGGGACCCGGAAGCCACGAGTCATTTAAGTCATGAATCAGGAAGTAAAAGAACATACTTGCATGGCAGGATTCTGATAATATCCTTCACCTTAAAATTCTCAATGCACACGGCACAATTCTCAGCATCAACATCGATTCCCTGTGAAAAGAGGAGGACTTACTAACCGGGCACAGCAGCACGTCCTGGGACAGCGCACTGCACCCTGGGTAATGTGATGAATTCCAGTTCAGTGTTACTTGGGTGCAGCCTGAAACTAAACATACCATTTCTACTTGGTATTTACTTTTACCACTATCAAGAGCATATTTAAAGAATTTGGCTGAAAAGATAAAGTCACTGTCTATCTAATCAGACACGAATAGCGTTTATATGCTAGGCTAGTGTTCATGGTTTTCATTTTTCAAAGTGTTCATGTTTTAAGGGCTTTAGAAATGCAAATATCTGCTCTACTATGATAAAATTAATTATCATAGGGACATCTATAGAGAAAGAATATCCAGCAGGCTGCTTGCTTTCTGGAATCACTAGAAAGACAAACGAGAGCACGTTCATGAGAGTTTGCTGAAGCACAGCCACAACCTGCGAAAGAGGAAAGGCAAATGGCTGCCTCTGGAAAGGCCTCACCAGCGAGGAAAGAATTACAAACTGCAATGTCACCATTTTCTCACCTATCACAGTAACAAAGGTAAAAAGAAACAAAAACTGCAGGGGAGAAGCTGTCGAATGACAACATTCCCACTTTTGAGAATCCATGGGTCAGCCTTCCACCCAGACACGTTCCCGGGTCCCTCGGGTCCACCCACCTGCCTCATCCCATCAACCAAAGCAGGTGGGGCCGGATGACCCTCTGACCCAGAAAGACCAAGGAGATGCTTATTCCCCAGCTTTTGGGACGAGGATGCAGGAATCACCAATCAGTCAGGTAGCTCCGACTTTGGCAAGTTAATTGTATGGAATTCGGTTAGACCGTAATTATTTTAAAATATATTTCGCCATGTGTATCACTTGTTAACAAATAAGCAATAAAAACTGATTTTATATGTAGATATAGTTATCAAAGACTGTATTAAAATGAACTTTATAGCAACACTTAAAATTGTATGTTACAACTAAAGTAAATATCACCTACTATTTATCATATGCCATGCAAGAGTGATGAAATAATTTTTAAAGTCCCTAATGATTTAAAAACTTATACATTACTATGAATGAGTCCGCAAGAAAAGTTAGAAAACAGACACTAGCCTCCGGAACTGGACAAGATGTAGATTTAAGAAGACCCTGGCTAGGTAGCTCAGTTGGTTAGAGTGTTGTCCCAATACGCCAAGTTGTGGGTTCAATCCCCAGTCAGGGGTCAGGCACATACAAGAAGCAACCAATGAATGAATAAATAAGTGGGAGAGAGAGAGGAAGGAAGATATATAAAAATATGTCCTAGTAAAATATATATATATATTTTAGAGGCCTGGTGCACAAAATTCGTGCACGGGGGTGGGGGATTGTCCCTCAGCCCGGCCGGCACCCTCTCCAATCTGGGACCCCTCGGGGGATGTCCGACTGCCAGTTTAGGCTTGATCCCTGCACAGACATCCCCCTCGCATTCCAGGACCACTGGCTCCTAACCACTCACCTGCCTCTCTGCCTCGCCCCCAATGGCCCTCCCCTGCAGGCCTGGCCGCTCCCAACGGCCCTCCCCTGCCAGCCTGATCTTGCCCCCAACTTCCCTCCCCTGCCGGCCTGATCACCCCCAACTGCCCGCCCCTGTGGCCTGATCTTACCCCTAACCCCCTGCAAGCCTGATACTGCCCCTAACTGCTCTCCCCTGCCAGCCTGATCTCACCCCTAACTGCCTCTGCCTTGGCCCCCACTACCATGGCTTTGTCCAGAAGGAAGTCAGACGTCTGGAAGATGGCCGGTTGATCCAGTCTAATTACCCTTTTATTGGTATAGATAGATTATATAGGCTAGGATTGCTTAAATGGGGGGGTGGGGTGGGGGGCCTTTTTCAGCAGGGGGAGATGCTCTTGGCAGACAAAAATATATAACCCCTATATCTGGACTGATAGCCAGCACTATGCACAATACTGACAAACCAGTTATTAAAAAATTGAACTGCTTTCTTACACCTTACACCAAACAGCTGTTGCCCTTAAAACCCCTCCTCAGCCCCCACCTTAGGTTCTGCCTTCGCAGTTCACCCAGATTAGGTTCTGATTGGTCGGTTTCTATGCCAGTCAGCGTCAAAAGCTCCTCCTCCTAGGCAGCCATTGGCTCCTCTGGGAAATCCAGAATGGCCCGCTGACAGCTGTCTCTCTCTCTGGGCCTATCTCCGGGCCTGATCTGCAGCCTCTGGGGCAGCTGTGGATCAGGCCCTGCCTCTCTCTCCAGGCTGGAGGCGTAATGACCTCGCTGCACCTGCCTCGCTGCGCCCACCTGCCCACCAGCTGCCAGCTTTGCTGTGATAGGAGCCTGTGGGCCACGGGGGAGGGACTGAGAGGTGCTCCATGCACTTCCTGGTGACCGTTCGTTTGGTCATTTTGGTTGTTACGAACACTGGCTTTTTATATATTAGATACTAGAGGCCCGGTGCATGAATTCGTGCACCAGTAGGGTCCCTAGGTCTGGCTGGCGATCAGGGCCTTCCTTCCCCCAGCTGCCAGCCAGGGCCTTCCTTTGTTCTGCGCTGGCCCCTGGTGGTCAGCGCATGTCATAGGGAGCAGTCAAACTCCCGAAGGGGATAATTTGCATATTAGCCTTTTATTATATAGAATGTGTGTGTGTGTGTGTGTGTGTGTATTTAAACAACATTTTTGCATACAAGTTTAAAACATAAAATTGTCAAAAAATTCATCATGGGCCACTTATGAATCCTCTTTTCTAAACCACTATTTTGACAACTTTCAAAAACCAGTCCATGGAAGTATATTTTCCAAAATGTTCTGCATAGAAACAGGATACTATCAATTTACTTATGTGCTCAAAGACTCAACTCAGTAAAATATACATATAAATCTGTCTTCTCACTTAAGGGTGAGAATTCCCACCACGGAGAGTGGAAGACCTAGTGCGAGAGGCACGCGAGACCTTGTGCCTGTCAGGTCACTGGCTACAACAAGGGTGCGGCTGTCACAGGCCTTCACCACTGGAGACTTTCTCTCCAAGGACCTTGCTTTATAAATAGGAGGCCAACCTTAACCTTTAAGATGGGAAATGTTTTTTTAACTTTTTCTGTTCAGTACATCTGTAAGAAACCTTGCACAAACTATTAAAACTCAACTGCTACTACAATGTGAAGGCTTTAGGGAAGGAATGGCAGTGAACAATACAATTCCAGGAATCCTATATAATAAAAGCCTAATATGCTAAGTGTCCAGTCATCCATTCAACCAATCAAAGCATAATATGCTAATGATATGCTAAGGCCACTCAACCACTCGCTATTATGTAAACTGACCACCAGGGGGGCAGACAGTCGACCGGTCGACCAGTCACTATGGCATGCACTGATGCAGGAGCTGCCCCCTGGTGGTCAGTGCGCTCACATAGGGGGAGCGCCGCTCAGCAGAGCCAAGCTCATGGCTGGCGAGTACAGCAGCGATGGCAAGAGCCTCTCCCACATCCGTGGCAGTGCTAAGGATGTCCGATTGACAGCTTAGGCCCACTCCCACCTAAGCCGTCAGTCGGACATCTTCCGAGGGCTCCCAGACTGTGAGAGGGTGCAGGCTGGACTGAGGGATCCCCTCTGAGTGCACGAATTTTGTGCACCGGGCCTCTAGTATCTTAATATGAATGATATTACATAAACCACTATTATCAGATTCCAAAGTTTTCAGACCAAAGGTCTATAATTTAATGTGTTATTTCTGTTTTGATTCTTTAAGTAGGTCCAAGGAAGAAATAAATACAAGTACAGTTTGTTTGTTTTTTAAGGAGAGACTAGAGGGTGAAATAGATTAAGTCTCAACGCAGTGAGATAAAACGAAGATCAAAACTGAACAAACCTACAGCTGTCAACATAGTTATCAACATTTCATGGCACAAAAAATGGACTATTAAAAGAATGAACACTGCTATGTTAGCAAATGTTTTCCTTTTAAGGAATCTACCCTCCAAAATTTGAGGTTCTAGATCCAGGATCTGTCCTATTCTAAAAATGGTTCAACTCTGGTATGATTTTTGTCCTGGGTTGGCCATGTAAAAATGTTTCTTTTGTAAAAGAGTACTTTTAAAAACATCTTTTCTCCCCTCCTTCACATATCCAAGGAATTTGAGAGAATAAACAGTCTCAGATTCAAAAAAGATGAATTTAAATTTCCAAGGGTCTGTGGTAGAGACTTCAGCTTCTTTATCTTCTTTAGCGTCACCTAAGTCTGACCACCAGGTAGAGGCTTTGCGATGATGGACATACTAGCACTGTCCAGGGTAGTAGCTACCAGCCACTGTGGCTAATTGGAGCATTGGAATGTAGCTAGTGTGGTGAAAGAACTGAATTTTAGGTTTAATTTAATTCATTTAAATTCAAGTAGCTTTATATGGCTAGTGGCTACCTTAGGTCTGAAAAGCTCATCACATATGCAACCGAATTATTTCTGACAACCTTGCTCTAAAATGAACACATATAAAATGAGTTAGTATTCACTCAACTAGTTAAAACTTCATGCGTTCGACACTGTGAATATAGCAGACTGGAAGGCTTACTTAGACACACAGACAGACGTATAGTCTAGTCTAAACCAAAAACAAAACAGAAAACACAAACCACAAAAATATTACCTTTTCTCCATGCTTTATAGTATGAAGCGGAAGTTGGCCAATAACTTTCTTGGTTTCTTTTCTATGGCTCTTAAGTAGGAAAAAAAATTGTTATTATTATTGAAAATTTGTGTAAAATCATTATTTTAAAAAATTCATAAAATGTTAGGAAGCTTATAGAAGAAATTCATTTAAAAAGAAAAGTTAAATGACTATAATGAAATAACTTTAAAATTACCATTTGTCTAAATGTACAGAATAAGCACATATAACTTGAGCTATTTGATCAAAATACTTATTTTCACTTAGCATAATACCCTCCAGATCCAGTTATGCTGTCACATATGAGTCAGTCACAGAAAGACAAATACCATATGATTTTCTTATAGGTGGAATCTAAAGAACAATACAAGCAAACAAACAATACAGAAACAGACTCATAGATACAGAGAACAGACCGATGGCTGCCGGATGGAAGGGGAATTGGGGGACTGGGTGAAAAAGGTGACAGGATTGAGAAGTACAGACTGGTAGTTACAGACTAGTCATGGGGATGCAAAGTGTAGCACAGGAAATATAGTTAACGAGTGACCTGGTGCACAGATTCGTGCACATTGAAAGGAAATTAATTAGAAGGTGGCCAGCAGGGCGGGACTGGGCCAGACACGCCCTGGAGCCAACATCCCATGGCCTCTCCCCGGCTGGCTGCACCTGCGGTGGTGCCGTGGCTCGAAGGGCCTCTGTGGAGTAAGCGGGGTCCCTCCGGCAGGCGGGGTCCCTCGGCCTGGCCTGCGGGGATCAGGCCGAAACCAGCTCTCCAACATCCCCCGAGGGATCCCAGAGTGCGAGAGGGCACTCTACAAAGTTGCTGTCATACAGGGTGTGGAACACAAATGCAAGTGTGCAGTTAACCAGATTTGGACCGACAGTGCCCCAGCAACAACATAACCCACAGCCGAAGGTGGAATCGCATGGCCCCGCGAGGAATCGGGCTCCCTCCTCTCTGGTTTCGGGGTGCATCACCCGAGAACTGCTGCTGCCAAGTCACTGCAGCTCGGCAGCTCCTGCGTTGAGCATCTGCCCCCTGGTGGTCAGTGCACATCATAGCTACTGGTCGACAGACACTTAGCATATTAGCCTTTTATATATATAGATAACTATGAATGGTGCCAGGTGGGTGCTGGAAATATAGGGGGGTCCACTTTGTAAAGTATATGTTTGTCTAAGCTGTACAAAACAATACTGAATGTAAACTGCAATGGGGGGGAGGGGGGAGATACTATTTTCAATTCCATGCCTAACAAGAACCCAATTCCAATTCTTATCTACACTAATAAAAGAGAAACATGGTAATTAGCGTACGACCGCTACCCTTCCTATTGGCTAATCAGCATATCCTTATGCAAATTAACTGTCAGCCAAAATGGCGGCCGGCAGCCAGGCAGCTGGAAGCGAACATGAGGCTTGCTTGCTCCAGTGACTGCAGACTCCAACGTTCCCCACCTGACTTGCCGGCCTCTGAGTTGCAACTCTAAGCAACTATGTACTATGTTGCAAATGTAGGAGCTAAACAAAACCCCAGAAACCAGCTTTCAGCCTGCCGGGATCTCAGAGCTGAAGTTATACATTGTTTC